TTTTGAAAATGGATGATAACCATTTGGCAATATAATTAAGTCATTGTGCGAGTGTCTCTAATTTTTATGTTTCAGCTAAGTGTATCAGAGAGTTATTGGTGGATTTAGGTCATTGGCTTGACGTGTCTATTCTGCAAATTTGGTGCACGTAAGTACATTTTATTGTTTTATTAAAGTCAATCTCTATTAATATGTTATATCTCTCATTACTTTGATTCTAATGTTTATTTTAAAATTATTCAGGTATATTCATCGTGTATGTCTTGAGAATTCCATTTCAGAATTATATGGATTTATGGACCCTGCTAGGTGTATTTATAATGATAATGGAGCAAAATCTCAAGAGGATGTTAAAAATTACGTACTAGAAAGGTTACGTGATGAAAACAGAGTGTGCCGCTTACTACCATTAATTCATGGGTAAGGATTTTTATGAAATTGTGTTTTATATTATTTAATTTTGATAACATATATATTTTATGTGGATTTTCTGTTTTCAAACACACGTACATGAGACATTGGCAATTAATAGTCATGTGTCCAAGAGACAATTTAGTTGTCGTATTTTGTTCACTTCATCGGGAAATTGACCATAACACGAAGAAAATTATTACAAAGTAAGTTTATCTTTCATGTGACTTTCATTGACAACTAATAGTTATGTGATTTTTCATTGGCGAGTAAATTTAGTTATGTGATTGTTATCTTTCTGTATTAGTTCTTTTGGAATTCATCAAATGGCAAATGGAAATAGAAAAAAGGCTACATAGCTTCATCCCAATGTAAGTGTGATGTAAATTATAATTCTATAGTTAAATTTATGATAAATATTCACTAATTATGTCATTCAATTGTAGACAAGGCAACAACATAACTCTAGTGATTGTGGATACTAGGTGATGAAAAATATGTTGGATATTGTCTCTGCTAATATAACCGAGAATTGGATGCAGGTACTAAAAATAACTTTACTTTGTTATTTACTTTTTGTTTTTCGACTTAATATGAATTTTTTAAAAATAACTCTATATTGTTATATTTATGTATTATAGGTATTTGATGACTCAACAGAATTAACACAAGATGATTTGTATGATTTGCGACTCCGTTGGGCAAAATGTTTCTTTGAGTTATATAAAAATTAAGTTTATCTTGGTGAGTTTTATAGAATTGTCTAAGTTGTGGTTTTTGCACATAATTGTTATTATTGAGTTTTTGCACAATACATGTGGTTTTTGCACATGTATTGAGTTTCTTGATTTTTTTGTTGATGTTAATTGTTATTATTTATTGTCAGGCAATGTGATATTGGTGTTGTCTACCGAAGCTATAACTCATCTACTTGTGGATTTTATATTGGTAATTCAAGTTTGGAAAAAGACTTATAAATAGTTGAATATTTTTGTATATTTTGTGAAGAATATGTAATTGTAAGTTTGTTGTGAGTTTGTTTGTTGTGATACAATACAAGTTTGCAATACAATTGTTCAATTTATAAGTTTGTTGTGAAAAATATGAAAATATCGACCTAGATGTGGTCTATGTGATGTTGGAAAGCTATGAAATCTATATAGCGACATAAATATAGTCTGTGTGATATTGGAAAAATATGAAAAAATGGGTGCAAATTATTTTTGTACAGGGAAACATCCAGAAAATAAATAATTTATTCTCAAAAAATTTCATACATTTTACATCGGTTATTACTCCCAACTGATGTAAAAACTTTCAAAAAGGGACTTTTTACATCGGTTATTACTCCCAACCGATGTAAAAAGTTGCGTCACTTTTTTAAAAATAATGATATAACTGTTTCTTACATCATTCTTATATTATAACCGATGTAAAAAGGAAGACAAGCATTCGAACAATCAAGTTATACGACTTGGGTCCACATGCTTGAGGATCAAAAGGATATACACCCAATTAATTATTTTTCATTCGATTTTGATTTTTATAAAAAAAGACAAGATTCAAAGTGATCAAGTTGAACAACCCACGTCTGAAAAAATTGACGGTTAAAATAGATATACATTTATCTAACTGCTTTTCTTTTAATTTAGTTATTATTAATTTATTAAAAGACAAGATTTATACCAACCGAGTCGTTCAACTCATGCTCTAAAACATTGGAAATTAAAAAACGTTCAACTTAATTTCTCAATTAATTAATATTAAAAAATAATAGCTTTTTAAAGGTGAGGCTTAGACTATCTCTTATAAAATTAGGGATAATTTATTCTTAATGACCTATATCAGTGAAATTTTACCATATAAAGTTAATTTTTAAAATTACATATTAATCCAAAACCTTAAGATATTATGTTTATACCTTTTCTCACTTAAAAATTTTCAATATCCTCTTTTTCATTCAATAAATGTGAGAACTATTACTCATATTTGAAATACCAACATCTTACTACTAAAAAAATAAATTATATATTATTTTCTTAATTTCATTTTGATTCTTTAAGATTTTAGATTAATATATGATTTTAAAATTTTAATTTATATGACAAAATTTAATTGATACACGTCATAAGAGACAAATTACCCTACAAAGAATAATAAACAATTTACCTTTATTAAATGATCAAGTTATCATATTTTCCATTAACTCTAATCCAAAAAACAAAGAGAAAGTTCATTAAGAATGAATATATTAAATGTTATTTTATGGGGGGGGGGGGGGGGGGGGGGGGGGGGGGGGGGGGGCATCGTGTGAAAATATGAAAAGTGTCTCTAGCTTTCAAAAATTTATTTCGAAAGCATTTTTAGTCAGGTCGTTAATGAACAAGATACTATATAAGAGAAGTGAATTAATTGGAGATGCATTTACAGGAGGGACCTGTAGTTGTATCTCTGAAAGCACCTCAACTATAAATTATAGTTTAGCCTAAGAAATCTCAGATGTCACGCAGATATATTTTGGAGTTGCACTTACGGGAGGGATCTGTAGTTGTATTTCTGAAATATATTTATACAAATATACGTGCTCATCTCTTCCCCTTCCCCACTTTCAAAAACACATTGTAAACAAAACATCAAAACCCCAATAACTCTCTTGTGCGAAAATATCATCAGAAATCAACAAACAACACTCAAGTCTCATCTAACATCAATGTTGAAGCTTCACGAACCAGCAAGAATCAAATTTTTAAGTGAAATTGTAAGTGTTTTTGGAGCTTTTTTTAGTTAATGTAAATGCATTTAGAAATTGAGTTTAAGGTTAGATAATTGAAATATTTTTAGTGTTTGCAAGCTTAGAAGTATGGTTAAACGTCTTGGTAAGGTTGTTTTTTTCGATCGATAAATATGTTTTTGAGGTCATAATAGCTTGGACTTCTCCATTGACGAAGCATAAAGTTGCAGGTAGTACCCGAGATACATTTTTTCGGATTTTTTCAACGTTTACATAAGAAACGGAGATACATCTCTGAAATTAGTTTGTCTGTATTTTCCCCTTTTTTTAAACACGAGTCATTGTGTAACGTTGGTTTTGTGCTTCTACAAGAGTTATGCTAAAAGAGAATCTAGGTTGAGACACAACAGGCTTGCAAAGCATACCTCTTGGAGGGAAATGAGTCAAGCATCCCAGATGTCATACCCTAAATTTGCCCACCCTATTTCTAACAGTCAAACTATTTCAAACTTGGGTTTCCTAAATACGAAAAGTGTCTCTAGCTTTCAAAAATGTATTTCGAAATCATTTTTAGTCAGGTCGTTAATGAACAAGATACTATATAAGAGAAGTGAATTAATTGGAGATGCATTTACGGGAGGGACCTGTAGTTGTATCTCTGAAAGCACCTCAACTATAAATCGTAGTTTAGCCTAAGAAACCTCAGATGTCACGCATAAATATTTTGGAGTTGTACTTACGGGAGAGATCTGTAGTTGTATTTCCGAAATATATTGACACAAATATGCGTGCTCGTCTCTTCCCCTTCCTCACTTTCAAAAACACATTGTAAACAAAACATTAAACCCCCAATAACTCTCTTGTGCGAAAATATCATCAGAAATCAACAAACAACACTCAAGCCTCATCTAACATCAATGTTGAAGCTTCATGAACCAGCAAGAATCAAATTTTAAAGTGAAATTGTAAGTGTTTTTTGAGCTTTTTTTAATTAATGTAAATGCATTTAGAAATTGAGTTTAAGGTTAGACAATTGAAATATTTTTAGTGTTTGCAAGCTTAGAAGTATGGTTAAACGTCTTGGTAAGGTTGTTTTTTCTATCGATAAACATGTTTTTGAGGTCATAATAACTTGGCCTTCACCATTGACGAAGCATAAAGTTACAGGTAGTACCTGAGATACATTTTTTCGGAAATTTTCAACGTTTACATAAAAAACGGAGATACATCTCTGAAATTATTTTGTCTGCATTTTTCACCTTTTTTTGAACATGAGTCATTGTCTAACGTTGGTTCCATACTTCTACAAGAGTTATTCTGAAAGAGAATCTAGGTTGAGACACGGCAGACTTGCAAAGCATACCTCTTGGAGGGAAATGAGTCAAGCATCCCAGATGTCATACCCTAAATTTGTCCACCCTATTTCTAACGGTCAAATTATTTCAAACTTGAGTTTCATAAATACGAAAAATATCTCTAGCTTTCAAAAATTTATTTCGAAAGCATTTTTAGTCAGGTCATTAATGAACAAGATACTATATAAGAGAAGTGAATTAATTGGAGATGCATTTACGGGTGGGACATGTAGTTATATCTCTGAAAGCATTTATATTTTTTGTTTTAATTAACCTATTTAAAAAGGTTATTTGTGTATTTTTGTTAATTAAAGAAAATTCATATTGACAATCCATACTAAAAAAAAAAGTTTTAAAATTAAAATTGATTAAAAAATTACAAATTGAATTCTTACCAATCAACTATCTATCACATGGGTATATAATATCTAATTTACGGCTGAAAGAAACAGGGGTTGATCTTATGTCATTTTCTTCTAATATAACTTTTCTTCATTCAAGTTTTATTTTGATTTATAAATGTAAAAAAAGCAAATAATAGACAAACTGTGTGATGATATATCCGGCATGTACTTACTACCCACTAAACATATAATAAAGTAAACATATGGAACCTGCGAACAAAAGATATTATAATCAACACCAACCACAACTTAAATGAGAAAACAGAAACGCAATACTTAACGAAACCTCACATATGAATCAAAGATGACGACGTTGCGATTTCGATTGGCAACAGAGATTAAATGGATCAAAGAAAGTGAATCACTGACCTCCGATTGTTCCGACGTGAGATGCGTATGTGACGTCGGGAGCTCCGACGGTTTCAAAACAACAATCGCAGGTACTCTGGCAGCTCCTAACTGGTGATGAAGGTTTTCCAGCGAGTTCGTCATTCCTTCGATCTATTTCTTCTTCTCTTTACTTCTGTTTGTGTTTCGGCATCGTCGTCGTGGTGGACAGACGGCAAATCATTCTTCCTTTTTCTATAATTTGCACTTTGTTTCCGTTTCTTCTCTTTTGATTTGTTGCTTGTTGATTTTCGATCTTATGTTGCCATGTGTTTGTGCTCTTGGAACAACTGGCAGTTTGTCATTATCAAGAAAGGGGGATTGTTACAACAAGATTTGAATATGTGTTAAATCTCTAGATTTTGATGATAGCAATACACATATTTAGTATATAAATAATTTTATTTCTAATAGTTTCTTGAGTGTACAGATTAGAAGGTTTAATTGATTCAGGATTGTTGTTTGAAGAATCATCAGAAGCACGCATCAGAAGACTATTGCATCTTATTCTTATGAAACATCAATAATTCTGAAGAATAATATTCACCAGAAAGAGGATCTTTTGTGTACTTCTCAACAAGTTGTTGCTTCAGAAGTCACGAGTATTCAAGAAGAAAGAAATATGTTAGAGTTGCTACTCCAAGATCAGAAAACAAGATTGCTCATAAACAAATTTTCACGTCAAAGATCATAAGTCAAGATTTGTTCATCAGAGGAGTTGTTGCTCGTAACTATGAAGACAAAGTCAAGGTTCTGAACACATCAAAGAAAAGCTTCTACCTCAGATTCAGAAGACAAGATTTGTTCATCAGAAAATATGTTGCTTCTAATTCTGAAGACAAAGTCAAGATTCTGAAGACTCGGGAACTTCGTGGAATATGTGCACATAACTTTACATCAGAAGTATTCCATTAGAAGATGATCAAAGGAAAGTTATATCTTTTGGACTCGTCATATAGTCCATCAGAAGACAAGATCGAGATGATATCTTTTTAAGTCAATCTACTTCATCAGAAGTCATATTCGTCAGAAGACAATATCATCAGAAACTAGCGCAAAGAGAGTTAGTACAAAGGTGGAATTACATGTTCCACTCAAATGGATGTACTGTGTACTATTTGTCTCCCATGATCAATTCTTGCCGTTATGGCAGCTGGCAAGATGAAAGTGACGTGTGTACTACTACAACGGTCTACTTCCTCAACGCCTATATAAAGGATCAACTGTTTCATTTGAAAATTGCAAGACTTGGATACAATAAGAGTAACGCTTCCAAAATAAAATCAAAAGAAAAAGAAAAGAAAAATAAAATAAAAATAAAAAGCAAAGAAAAGAAAAATAAAATAAAAATAAAAAGCAAAGAAAAGAAAAGATCAAAACACAAGAGTTTTTGCTCGTTACTGTGTTAATATTATCATTTGCTAGAACATAAGAGTTGTTGCTCATATTGTATTGTTACTACTATTCACCAGAACACTAGAGTTGTTGCTCATATAGTGTTGATATTACTATTATTTAGAACACAAGAGTTGTTGCTCATTATTGTGTTACTTTTATAAATTGTTTGAACATAAGAGTTGTTGCTCATATTTGTGTTAAACAATTTGTACTTAAACTTCTATCTAATCCTCTATAAGAAGCAAACTTGTAAACACAGTTATTCAACGGATAGTTGAGAAAGTCTTTTTCTAAGGCAAAGAGAAATTTCTTTTCTAAGGCATAGAGAAATCTCCTTCAAGGGATCGGGTAGGACAAAACCCTTAAGGAATCAATGATCATTATATCTATTAGGGGATCAGGTAGGTCAGAATTCTTAAGGGATCACTAACAGGTTATCATTGTTGTTAGTCACCAGTGGGTAGCTCGTGCATTTGTTAGTCACCAGCTAATAGTCCGTGCAGTTGTAATCAGTTTGGTTATAGTGAATTAAGTCATTTTCTAAGGAGAAATCACATTGACACGTGGATATGATTAATCTTTTCTCAGGTACGCTACCAAATTCCTTCTCTAGAACATTCAGTGTTTATACTTTAAAAATAATGATGATTGATGATTGTGCGTGGTTTACTATTAATTTACATAACTGTGCTGATGAAAAGCCAGGCTTTGGTTAATTTTTACTAAGCCTAAATCAGAAGTTGGAATTTGTTGTAATATTGTGTTTTTCTTTTTGAACAATGTAACTTTAAAAAATATATATTTTACACATCGGTGTTCCTAAAAACCAAGGGGATTTTTTAGCGTTAAAGTTGGGGATATTTATCACCGTCCTTAATCAAATCCTTGCCGTCTATTTCATGACTATCAACACTCAAGACACTACCATTAACGATTCGTGTAAAACATAAGTTAACTTCCATTATAAAAGCATTCTGAATATAAAAAATTGATAATGAAATATCATGAAGCGCTTGAAACTATCCTCCACTTTAAGATATGCAAGAGTATTTTTCATGAAGATTTCTCTATGATGGATTGTAAGAGCAAAAAATTATTTGGGTTTAAGGTTTATGTACTTTAATATTTATTTGAGCTGAAAATTATTTATTTATCTAATTCTTTTTTATCTAACCCTTTTTTGTTGATATCAGAAAAAAAATGCAAGGAAAACTCATAGAAAATATATTGTTTTCCTGTATTTTATCTTCCCAGGATATCAAGGATTTGAAGTTCCAACATATGATCTTCATGGACAACTTAATTTTTATTTTGATATTATGTGTAAACAATGTAACCAGTTTAATATTATGAGTAAACATTGTATTTTGTAAACAAATTATTTTATAAATTTTTTGTGTGTTGTACCCCAAAATTTGCCCTCTCATGTTTTTCAAGGTCTTCCCCTACATGATTGACCACAAATGCTTGCCTAAGAAAAAAGGAAAATTTTTAAGTGGTGTTTTAAATACCTTTCAATTGGCATTCTGAAAGACCCTTCGATTGGTATTATAAAGGAGCCTTTCGATTGGCATGGACAATGCTCTTCGATTAGCATTGTAGCCAAGCCTTTCGATTGATATTCCAAATGCTTCGATTGGTATGGTGGCCAAGCCCTTCGATTGGCATGGATACAAGGCCTTTCAATTGGTCTCATGACAAGCCTTTCGATTGGCATTGTGTCAAGGCCTTCGATTGGCATTCTGAAAGACTCTTTCATTTGACCATGGGCCAAGCCTTTCGATTGGCATGGCAAGGGATCCTTCGATTTGGCATTGTGTCAAGGCAGCTTCAACAGGCATGGTAACAATGTCCTTCGATTGGCATGTCAATAAAGGCCCTTCGATTGACATCCCAAAAGGTCCATTCAAAGAAGCTTTCAAAGAGTCCATTCGAAGAACATGCAAAGGTCCATTCGAAGAGCATTCAAAGGGTCCATTCGAAGAGCATTCAAAGATTCCATTCGAAGAACATGCAAAGGTACATTCGAAGAGCATTCAAAGGATCCATTCGAAGAGCATTCAAAGGGGCCATTCGAAGGAGGCCATCATCCCCTTCGAAAGGGAGCATTCGAAGGCCAGTTACATATCATTCAAAATTAAAAAAAATAGACAAGATCCTATGTGTTTCGCCAACGTTACAAATTCTCATGCATGGCTTTCAAACACAATCAAGGCTTTTTAAACCTTTGCCTTCTTGTTGGGTAAAAATAATAGAACCAATCCTCGGCAACAGCGCCATTTTGTTGATGTTGTAGAGCGGCAAGCAAAAAGTAAGTTATTAATTTACCAGGTGATATTTAGGTTATATCGTATCGTGTCCATAGAGATTGGTTATTGATTTCGTCGTTTGAAAAATTATTTGTTAATGAGTTTGGGGATAAATGGGTTGGAAAAAAATGTATTAACATAAAATAAATGTATAAAAAGGAAAAAGGAATAACTTATCAAGCATGCATATATACAACTTCTCACAGACTTAAACCTATCGACCTGTTATAATCAACCTACAATATTCATCAATGTCACTACGTATTACTCACAACCTAAGTCATTTCTAACCCAAATTGAGAGACCTATTGTATCACCTCGGTAGAGATCTCTCAACCACCTCAACAACACAGAAGTCAACCGTGCTCACCTGTATCGACGATCTCTCAGAGCGACACAAATAACACAGATGCATTAATTTCTGATATGTAAGTAGATGTCAGCTTTAAATCTATCTCTAGATTTCATAAACTAACAGATGAGCATCCTAGATAAGAATCTAAGCAGTATATGTCTATAACAACTCAAAACCTTAACACAGAGTAAAAATCCAGGACAACAATCCATAAAGATTCGTAAAGCAAGATTAATATAACGCCAAGGGCGACAAATATACACCAATTTAAAGAAAATATACATACAAACCCAACCAATAGAGATTACACAAAGAGGAAGAGAAATGAACTGCAGATCTACCGGTTTGTCAGTGTCGATCGAAGAGTAATCCACCTCGGATCATCCGTATGCAAGCTCCATAGTTGTTATCTAAGCTAATCCTAATAAAATTTATAGGTTGATGGAGTTAGGAGCAAAAACTTCCCCAAAACCATCCTTAAAAATGAGCTGAAATGAAAGTTATAAAACAAATCCCAACAGACCGCGCTAAGCGGGTCTGGCGCGCTAAGCGTGACTTGCTTAATTTGCACATCAAACCGACCTAAATCGCACTAAGCGCGCTATCCATGCTAAGCAGGCTTCAAAACATTGATTCTGATAAATTGTCAAACGCAACCAGCGTGCTACAAAATGCGTTGAGCGCCATTCGTGCTTAGCGGTCTCTACGCGCTAAGCGGGCTCTCATGAACAAAATGTCCTAAAACTGGTCTTTTGTTCTGAAAACGTGCATCCGGAGCCGTGCCTTCGACACTTTATTCCTCAATGCTCCAAAATGAAACAAATACCTACAAAATGAATGGAAAAACATCAAACGATACACTATGTACATGAAAACATAAACAAAACGTATTTACACAAAAGTCGGGTTTATTCAACAATACTAACAATAAAAAGTTCGACAAATGCAACAAAAAGTATATATAAAAATTGATACAATTTGTACTTATCATACATCTATCTATATTCTTTAAATTTCAACTTTAAAATAGGTATATAAATCTAAACACTAAAATTAAAATCATATTTTATTTCAAATCATAATAGAATTAACACTTGAAATAAATATTTTTAATTTAAATGTAATTATAGTCAAAAAAAATATATTAACATAATAATTAATTACAAACTTAGATAAATATATTACTTTCATAAATTTTATAGAACAATATTTATATTTGTCTTGAGATAATAAATACTTTTTATACATGTTTTCAATATTGTGTTTTTAAAATAATTTTATAATCTTAAAATATTAAATGATATAATACTTTTCATCATTCCATTAGAAGCTGGTTGTTGATTTTAATGTTTGATTTTAAAATTACATTGCAAAAAATTTAAAAGAATATAACATATATATGAATTTTTTGAATATTGACAACTTACTTGGGATTCAACTTATTAAAATAATTTATTCTTATTTAAAAAAAATATTTTGAAGAAAATGAACTTCATATTCATTTTAAACAAAATATTTTAATAACATAAGAGTTACTTCATAAAAGTATATTTTCTCAAATTTCAAAAATAAATTATAGGGTTAAATCTATTTTCACCCTGTCATATAGGTCATTTTCGAAAAATTACTCTTTAAAAAAAGTTTGATGAAATCCCCCAATATTTAAATATTCTCTCACTTTTGACCTTCATTAGGCCAACTCATCAAAAAAAGCTGATGTGGCACTATTTCATTCCATTTAAATTTTATTCCACATGTGTATTTCAATGAGTATAATGACACAAATGCCCCCAATCAAAAAACATATCTTGAGAAAGAGTGTGTGTGTGAGTGAAGCATCGAAGGAAAAACCCCTAATTCCTTTTTCCTTGTCGTTCTCTTCTTCATTTTCTTTCTTGCTGTTGTTCTCAGGCTTGTGTTCGTCATTCATTTTCGTTTCTCTTCATTTCCTCATTTAAGTGTTTTTGTTAGTTGCCTTCTCAATGAAATGAAGATCTCATAATGTTTTAACTATAGCATGTCTTCAAACAGAAGAATCACTCCCAAATGAAGACATAATCTTTCTATGAAGATGTTTGCTTCAAAGTCGAATGCAAATTCAGGGAGAAAATATTGGAAGTGTAAGTTCTGGGGTAAAGAAGATAATTGTCACTTATTCCATTGGGTATTTGAAAGGTACTACTAACCTTAGTTTGTGTTATAGAAAATCAAGTGAATACAAGTTAGTAGGTTATTATGATGCTGATTATGCTGGAGATAAACTTGAGAGAAAAAGCACTTATGGAAGCTGTCAGTTTCTGGGAGACAACTTAATCTCATGGTCCAGCAATAGGTAATTAACAATTGA